GCCAACTGTTTGTTTGGCTGGCGCTGATCCTAATGCTTATTTATCACATTTTGAAGTTGCTGTACATTTTCCTGCTTTCAAATCTGCATTTTGATTGCATAAAGAATTGAACCTGTAAATACCCCTACACAAAAGACATGCGTTTACCTTGTAAGGGAAAAAGAAAAACCTATCTTAAAGAGATCCTGTCACTAAACCTTAAAAAATGCAGGTAAAAGCAAAGAAAAAAATCAAGTATCTTCAATGCTTGCATGGAGCATTTTTCCTATCCATAAATTATTTTTTATTTACTTGCAACATGCCTTTCAGTTTGCTAAGGAATTTGACTACTCCGGAAGACACCATTCCCTAGCACAGCCCCCTTCCTCCTAGCATGTTATGATCTTCCTCCTATGGGAGTGTCTATCAACTGTCTGTGCTGGCCCAGCTCCTCCACCCTTTCCTTTACCTCTGTACATACCTTTAATGTAGCTGAGGGAGGAAGAGTGAAGGGGAATACAATGTATTAAATACATATATTCCTATAAAAAGATTTTTAAATGAATGGTCTGTTGACAGGGTCTCTCAAGAAGTACATGAGCTCTTTACGTGCGCCTTCAGCGGGCTGGTCCTCCGCTACCCCACTGCTCAGAGCAGTCTTTGCTTCTGAGGGATTTGGTTTCCTTACACAGTGACCAGTATGGCTGAGCACTCGTAGAAGGGATAGACGGCTGTACAGGCATTAAAGTTTTATCACTGCACAAAACCATGGACCTTGTTTAGCAGGAAGTGCTGGCTGTACAGCCCATAGCACCCAATCAACTTCTACCAGTGTACTAAGGGACAGGAACGCTCTCACTGGTTGTTTTAGGTAAGTTCTCTATCAAAGTTTGATAAATAGAATCCCGTGTCCTTTGATTTTATTATCCATATAACATTCCCTACATATTGTGAGCTGTCAGTGCTTGGAATAAGGCACAAATTGGACGATTATCACCTATGGATAAGGCACAGACACATCCCTGACATCACAGTGCCGGCCTTCCAGCTCTAGCCAGCGCCAAGGTAATGCTTTGCAGGCTTTTCCCTCTAAATGTTCCTCACCCAGCCTTTCATATAAAAAAAAAAACAAACAAATCCTCTCACTCTTGAAGATCTGACACAAGTTCATGATCTTTCAGACACAAGACTTGCATCTTACTGGATAAACATTTTGTAACTTTACTTAATAGCACTTTTTATAAAGCCCTTATTGACTCTGCTGTAGAATTTGGTGCTGGTTTGGTTGTACTGCGACATCGGTGAGAGATGACCCCCTCCCATTGTCACCAAGCCATCCATGCCAATGATTACAGTCATAAGTGATGGAGACAAACGTTCAGCACTACTTTAAATAAACCTGCCATGAAAAAAAAATATGTAGGCTGCCATTGCTGAGCTCCTGAAAATACCACCTGCTTGGCTTTCATGATGATTCATTGGATTTGGGACCAGCGTGCAGCACAAGACGTGTTATCCCCTGTCCCAGGTCAGTGCCTCAGACTGTATTGAAGCTGTTGGATCATTATGACTGTCTGGGCAACTCACCTTCAGGTGAAGTCACCTGTACCTGTAATCCTTACAATACAAGGTTCTGGTGAAGACGTCTCTCTAATGATTGCACATGGTCCAGAATTTGTTTTGTCACAAAATGTAATGATACTCATCCTACAAACAGGAAAATATTCTGATTGTCTTTAGACATTTTAAATGTATTCTAAATTCACCCTGAAGGCTAACATTCCCCGTGATAAAGGCCTGGATCTTTCCAGAAGCAGCCCACACTGTCCTGAAAGAACAAACTACCATGGAGCATCTGCAGCACTTTACATACTCTGCTGCTCCGGTTGGCAGTAATTCTGCTAACTGGGAACAGGCCAAGTTAATGGCAATGATGAGAAAGGCTCTCTGCCCTCTAACCTGAAGCTGCTGCTTTTCCTCTTTGATCATGCTGCCCCTCCTCCCCCCCAAGCCCAGACAGCCTTTGCTGGATGTACTATGGAATCTGCACAATTCTGAATTAAAGCACTACTTTACTCTCCACCCAAACACTGGCGAGTTGTCCAAATTAAAGGTACAGTCCACCTTGTGAGAAAAATGTAATAAATGCACCAATAATGAGAAAATAAAAAAAACATGTACTTATATGTCTGCAATGAGGCCTGCGGAGCATTTCAGCTGCGGTCAGTGTGTGGTGGGTGCAATGCGCAGGCTGCTGCATGGTTCCCCCCCCAGGTCTGTTCAGAAGTATGCACTCTGCGATTCAGGTAAGAGTGGGGGGGGGGTTAGAATGATGCTGTAGGAGACTATACTTTGTGCTTCACCCTTCAATATGGGTATAACCTGAAGCTGGCCTGAAAGGTGGAATAAGCCTTTAAAATAAAAGTAATACATCCGTATATAAAACGTTCCGAGACTAAAATAAGCCACATTACTTTCTTTATTAATGAGGATCTGGTGCTTTCAACTATTCTTCCTGATTTTAGAATTTCCATGGAAGAGCACTGAATTGTCTCACAGCCTGGGAAGGGTTAACCCAGAAGATGTGAGGAATGTATGAAGTACTCTGGCATCCTCTGTCCCCAGATGGGAGCGGATGATATGGTAAGCAGCCTTGTCAGTGCCTTAAATCACCCCTGCAGGCGTGTGACAGCAAGCCGCTCTCACAGGAGCACCCAGACATCTATCATGAATGGCAAATATTCCTTCTAGAGGAATGTCCCAGCGCCCTCCATATGGCACTTATCAGAGGAGTGGGGGCAGGGAATGCGGGCCATATGGAGGAAAGGTGTCCACCACTCAGCTTTACCTCTGCTGTGTTTCCAACAGATAAAGTAAGCAAGCAGCTGATTGGATGATTGCCCCTTCAGACACATCCAGTCAGGCCGCGTTCTTTACAACCAACCAAGCAGTAAACCACAATGGCCCTAGACTAGGTCAGTATCTTAGAAGTGTAAGTCTAGCCATAGATTCAGATAGGCCTAGAACCTGTCAGGGTTTTCCTGTAATCCAGGGCTCTGTTAGTGAGATTCACCCCCACTTCATGTCCCAGGAACAGCAGTTTCACCAGACGAAGTGCAGGAAAATCTGCAACAGCGATGCAGACAGAACTAAAAATCTACAACTGCTGGGAATGTTTCCATACTCCCGATAATATCAAGGAAAAACTCTTATATGTTACTAAAAAAATTATTTTTTAATGACAGAAAACTTTTAAAATAGAATTCTAACAGGTGGGAAAGCAAAAAAGACCGTTTTGTGCATCATGTCATATATAATATTAAAGCTGAAATTGCATCTGTTTATATTAGTGCCTTCTTTCCCCCTCAATAATGTGATAATAAAAGTTTACATTTTCATTGCTTAACTTATTATTGACCCAGATATGTCATCACTAGATCTCTGTGCTTCTCTATGCAAGCAGACAGATTATGGCTGGTGGGAGGGGCTGGCAGGGTTCTGTACATAGCTTTCTGAAAGTATCCCAGCACCCTGCCTCAGTACTCCTCTCAAGAGCCCACAGCCCAGATGCAAGCAGTGGGAGGAGTTATGCAAAATCCCTTGCTGGGTGGTGTCAGTTTGGAGGAGTGGGTGTCCATACGTAGCTGTATTTGCATGCAGCCCTCCCTGGTCAACAACACCCACCTGTAATTCTGAGTCACCATGATTGAAAGATCTGAAATCCAAATTATGAAAAGGGGGTGGTCCAGACACAGTCATGCTGGGGAGCATAGGGCTAGTTAATGCTGGACGTCCTCCACCCAGGAAATAAGGTGGGCGCTATCTGGCTGTAGCATCTAATGCACATTAGAAGAAGCTCCACAGTCTGCAGTGAAAAATCTATTTAAATAAAGAGGAGCCTGTACAACAGTGCAAGACTGAAGGGAAGGTTTAAAATATATCTTATGTTATATGTGAATTGATATTGCCTTTCCACATGTTAGATGTCAAAATCTGCAAGGGGGTCTAGCCTTTCCTTCTGTATTTTTAAAAAAAAAAAAAAGTTCTGTCTGGGTTGCTGTTGAAGATTTTCCCCCACTGGAGAAAGGAAGTGAGTGTAAATCTCTCCAGTGGAATGTGGGATAGCAGTAAACAAAATCCAGCGGAGCTTCTACTCCACCTCAACTCCGTCAAAAACGGAAAAGGAAAGTCTTGGCGGGACTTACGCTTTAAGCAGTGTCCTTACTACAATGCATAGGATTGTCACAACTGACCAAAGCCAATAAAGAAGCATCTTTGGCAAAAAAATTAACAAAAAATTAAAAAAAAGAACTTTAAATCTGTACAACTATCTCATTTAAAAAAAACTTTCTTATAAAATATATACACATATATTTCTCATCTCTATAAAAATACAATCTGGGAACACTGAAGATGGAGAGAAGGATGTCCAAGTCATGTTAGCGGCTCAGTGAGAAAGCTTAGAATAGCGGAATTTAGGCATTTAGGGCATATAGCGTTTTCTGCGGTGAAATACAGGCGAGGATTGGCTGCCATTTGGTCGCTGCATTTGTACTTGGGTCCTGAGAAGATTCAATTAACACTGGAGCTCTGTGGTCACATCAAAGACAAAACCTGCACAAGTTGTAAGTAGGGCTCCGAGCCTTGCGGTACAGTTTCTCCGCTCCGCTCCGGATATGAGCCGCCTCTAAGGCTGCTACTCTGCTTTTTTAGCTGCTTCTCTCTTTGCACATATTGTAACTTTTTAAAGGAAATCAGCTTTCAAGATAAACAGTCAGAAATACTGGCACAACATCGGGAATGATTCTGATTAATAAAACAAGCCATCGACTTGCTCTTCTCTTGGTCCTCGTTCAGCTTTACGGCGGGAAGGAACCCAGCTAACATCTTAAGTAGCCATGTCTCTTAATCCCGCTGGCATGTGGCCAGACCCCCTCTTCCCAGAATCCTTTGTGTCCGACTGGCACATTCCTAGAGAGAGGGGCTTTGGTCTTTTTTCCGATAAGACTCTGACAGTGTTTCTATTCATCGTTGTCCGGTTTAACATCCAACATGGCATGGAGCTCCTCCGGCACGTATCCCAGAAGGCTTTGCAAGTCACATACAAAGCGATAGACGTAGCGCTTGCCGGCTGTCTTGTGAATGATGTTCTTGTCATAGTAGTATCGTAGGCCGCGGCTCAGCTTTTCATAGTTCATCTTCGGCTTGTTCTTTCTTTTGCCCCAACGCCGGGCAACCTGCGGGACAAAGAAGCAAATGTGATGTTTTAAGCGCGGATTGTTTGCCTTAAAGTAACACTGATGAATACACAGGTCAACCTCTGCTTCTGAAAAGCCTTTTGCAGGCTGACTGTGCTACCTCCTCACCATCAGCAGCAGCATTGTCAGGCTGACGTGTGCAGCTTCCATTGGCTCCTGAGCTGCTGATCTGATAGGGATGAGCCCCTCCCCCGCCCTCATCCCCACACTCAGAGTTGGGACAAAGGAGCCTGGAGGAATGGTGCTGTGCTGTGCTCTGCCCTCTCCTCCTGTCAGAACAGCTCTGCTCCATATAGCTGGTGACACAGGATCGCTCCGATTATTGGGCTCTACAGTTTCATGACCTGCCCCCTATCTGCTCCAAGGACTGCTCATCTCCCAGCAGCAGGAAATGTGGGTAGGGGGCAGGTAATCAAACTGTGTACAGGCTGATGGTCAGAGCAATCCTATGTCATCAGCTATATGGAGCAGTGCTGTTCTGACAGGAGGAGAGGGCACAGCACAGCCTGAACCTCTGAACTGTTAGGAGGATGGAGGTGGGGGACCTTACAGGCAAATTGTACATAATGCAGCGGGAGGTGTGGGGGGAAACAGTCATTTGTGCTCGGGGTGAGACAGGGCTATTTGTGATGGAAAGGGTAATATGGGGGTTGGGGGGGGATTTCTGCTAAGAGGGGATTTGGGAAGGAAGAGGATCTGTGTTGGGAAGAGTAATTTGGGGGGGGGGGGGTTGCTAGGAGGAGGAATTTAGGTGAATGTGTCATATGGAGGGGGGTTGGAGGGTGAGCATTTGGGAGTATGGTGGCGAATTTGTGCTAGAAGGTGGGATTAGTGTGGGGGATTTGTGTTACAAAGGGGGATTGGCGGAGGAGAAATTTGTGTTAGCAGGGGGGTTAGCGGGGAATTTGTTCTAGACGGGGGAATTGGGGGGGAAGAGGATGTGTGCTAGGAGGGGGGATTGGGGGAAGAGGGAGGACCTGAGGGGAATTTGTGCTAGGAGGGGGGATGGGGAAGGATTTATGCTAAGAAGGAAAATTTTGGGGAGATTTGTGCTAGGATGGGAAATTTGAGGGGGAAGGGAATGTGTGTACGGTGGGGTGATTTTCTTTTGGGGGGGGGGTGAGGGAGATTTGTGCTGGGAGGGGGGGTTTACACTGGGAGGAGAGGGGATTTTTGAATCTTTGGTGAGGATTTTGGCTTGAAGAAAGAATTTATGCTGGGGGGGGAGCATGCTGATTAGTGCAGTTTTGTATTTGTTTTGTCTTTTTGAGGGGGAGGGATTTACGCTGACACAGGATGCTCACATGAGAGGGATTTATTTTATCAACCTCACCCTGGGAGCTAGATGACCTTGTCCTGGCAATGCCCACACCACAGACAGGGCAGTCAATAGGTCTCCTCCTCGCCACATAGCTGAGATCAGATTCCCTCACAGACAAAGCCTCAATGTGCCGTGTATAGCTGGCTGCTATGTTGCAGTTCTGACCCTTTTGTCTTCTCTGCTGACCCCTCTCCTTTACCCTGCTGACCCTCTGTAGCCTGCCCTACTGACCGCTGTCCTCCATCCTGCTGACTCCTGTACACTGCCCTTTTGACCCCCATTCTTCTCCTCTACTGCCCTAATAACCCCTGTTCTCCACCTGCTGACCCCTGTCATCTCTTCTGTTTACCCCTTGTCCTTTGCCCAACTGAACCCCTGTATACTGCCCTACTGACTCTTGTACACTGCTGACCTCCCATCCTATCCCCTGTACACTGCCTTTGTAACCCACTGTAAACTTCCCTACAATGTAATGGCCTCTGTACTCGGCCCTGCTAGCTCACTATGGCTGAGAGATAGGGTTAGCGGTTTGTAGGGCAAACCGCTTATTTAGCAAGAAACCTGTTAGCTGGATTTGCTGTATTCTCCATCATGGTTTGTGGATGTGTTTTTACATGAAGAATCATAATAAAGTTGATTTTATCAGATGTGCGGCCAACCAGACTTTCCTTTGCTTTATGTCACAGACCCCATCAGGTGGAAGTGATTACGCCTGGTACTGTGTAGCTGAGGACTCAGAACACTAGAGGTCTGCTAGTTCTGCGTAATCAACTTTTAATCCACCTATTTTCAGTCTTTAAATTGGGATTCCCAATATTGGATCCAATACAGTTAAATAAACATTAGAACTGCCCTGCCAGTGGGTACTCACCTCATCTGGGTCAGACAGTTTAAATTCCCAGCCATCCCCCGTCCAGCTGATGAAAGACTGGCATGACTTGTCTGTAAGGAGCTCTAAGAGGAACTGCCAAAGCTGGATTGGTCCACTGCCTGGGAGAGACAAAAGAGAGAGGTCAGCATTGCCAGTATAATACACCATCATAGATGTCCTCACCACACATTCATAGAGAAGTTATATCCATTCTGACCCAACAGAATCCATCAGTAGTACAAGGTACAAGTAAGAGTTACAGAGCAGATAAGATCTGATTGGCTGATATGACCTCATGACTTAGTTCCATACACTGCAGCCATGCGGAAGAATCTCTAGAAAGCTTTCCCTGTTAAGTTCTCCAAATATTTAAAGCAGACTTAATCCTTAATAGGATGACATTTAGTTTGCTCAGCGCACTGTTCTCCTAAACTTCTGTTTTCACCCCTGGGTCCCATCTCAGTGCTGCTCGTCTCCTTCCACTACTTTCTCTGGGCTGCATATCTTTGCTCTGGACTTGCTTCCTGAGAGTGACAACAGTAGACCATCACTACGTCATGTGTCAGTACGGCCAATTGTAGTCACCTTCTGGGGTACATGTGACATGGTGACAATGCTGGAACACAGCTGGGAGGCCAGAACAAAGTACACAGCTAGTGCCTAAACAAGGACTTAATGGCAGGATCACCAAGGATTAAGTTGCAGATTTTAACAGTTTGAAAACGACTTGTGAAACTCATGGAAGTAGGCAGCCATCTGCTGATGTGTGTCAGTGGTATGCCTGTGTTGTTCTCTCAATGTAGATAATCCATGGCGGATTCTTAATCACCTCCCTTGCAGCCATCTTGTACACTAGAACAATACGTCTACACACAGAGTGCTGCCCATGGGTCTTTGCGCTTTATTAGCAAGACATGTGACCAGTTGGATTCCTGAGCATGGCGCTGCTCTGGAAAGTCCCAGAGCAACCGCAAATTGACTGATAACAGCACGCCTCTGTCCTCCGCTGCAACCCAATGACCCATAACCTGAAAAGGGTTCAAAGACTGTAACCAGTCAATGGGACTCACATGCTATTCCTGTGCACAATGAAGCCTGTGTTAGGCCGCGGCCAGTGATGGCGGTCGCAGAAACAGTGATTATGCCCGTCACATGATAGGAATGCACTGTCCTCACTTGGAAAATATGTCTCCCCATTCAGCTTCAGGGGAACCCTGATTCTAAAAATACTGTTGGCCAGGGACAGAACCCCTATTCTGCTCGCCCGTCGCAGCTCTGTCTGGTCTCCAGATATATAATGGGCATTTTATCACAGTCGAAACACAACATGCTTTAAAGTGCGCACAGAGACGGCAGCGGGTGGGACGGGGTGTGCATTTCAAATTCAGATCCTACAGCCCAAAGTTTGTCAGGTGCAGAGCATCTTCAAACTGCAACATGCTACTGGCTGCTTTAGTAATCCATAATTCACTGGATGGGGATTGAAACGCGTCCCGACCCATGCACACGTTTGGCTCCGTTTTTTCAGGCCGCAGCTGTTTTGCACAGTGACCGCAATCCCCAAGAGGGCCCTGCGAATGGAAAGTTCCCAGGCTCACAAGAGCGCTGTTTAAATAAGGAAATATTTCTGTAGATATCGCATGGCCTGACACTGGGGTAGTGGCCCCTGCAGAGGCGCCTCTCTCGCCCTCTGTGCTGTGTTTAGTCTTTGTATACAGTAACTTTTATATACACACAGCAAACTGCACATCTGCCAGAAACAATTCACTCCATATAATCTGTCTATACGCCAGCGCCACAGCCTACTGCAGCCTCATCACCCTAACGGCTTTATTCTGAATCTCATTTAGTAGATGGCCAGTGATTAATGTGATAAACGTACAGGACAAAGAACACCTGCAGGGCTCCAACTGTTAAGGAACTACAAGTTTCAGCAGGACCTGCAGTGGTCAGGATGACATTCTCCTGCCATATCTACAATTGTCCTTGAATTGTAGAACTGTTCTTAAAGTAGATGTAAACTCTAACTTGATGACTTGTAGTTTTCTCTGTGTATCACAAGCAGTTGCCATATTTGTTTTTCTAAAACTCTTGTGTTCACCCTTTTCTCATCCTTTGTTACATCTCAGTCCTGCAGCCTCTTTGCAGCCACTTCCTGTCTAAATGCACTCCAGTGATGGTTACATGGCATTTCTCAGGGCAGGTTTCCTGAGATGGTGATAACACTGGACCATGCCTGTGTAATATGTGTTGAAATAGCCACTTGTAGTCTCCATGTGACAGGTTGCAAACAGAAGCACATAATTAGGAAATGATAATCATCCAATAATAAAAAGTGCCCGAACAAGGACTTTCATGGCAAGGTCACCAGGGATTATTTTTAATTAAAGCTGCAGATAAAAAAATATTGAAAATGACATTACCATGCTACATCTTCTATGAGATTTTAGTGCGGGGTCTGCAACCTGTCGATCGCGATATACCTGTTTATTACAGCTGACAGGAGATCATGACCCAACATGCCTGACATCCTGATTGCCCCGGCCAACTGTTAGGCGAGCCACTGCCCAGATCACAGCGCACATGCAGAGCTGCAGCGGGGTGCTGAGTGCGCTCCTGCACTTGGCTCCAGCATGAAAAGTAATACATTCTGTCAGACGGAGGGATCTTCACCTGACAGATGGTTTCTAGTCCCAGCCTCTGACTGGTTGTCATTCAGAGACTAGGAGGCAGGAGAGTAAGAGAGAGACGTGCCGGTACCCTGCATGCAAGTACCAATTTGTTACAGTAAGCTGGGAGCGTTGGGTGGGGGGGGGGGGGTTAATAATTACATTAGTAATGTGGAGCATGAAGGGGTAATGTGTTGCCACTGGTCACTGATGCATTAGTGACCAGTGGCAGTTAATTAGTGGCACCAGGGTCAGTGTTAATAACCCCTTTATGCTGCAGCATGGAGGGGGTTGTTAAACAGTGCTACTGGTCACTAATGCAGCATAAAGGGGTAATTAACACTGACACTGGTGTCAATAATGCAGCACAAGGGGGTTAATTACTGCCACTGCCCACCAATAGGGAGGGTAGTTTGGAGTTGCACTAACACTGACCATTATTGCAGAGAGGCACCACAGGGTGGCAGGAGGGGGAGGGACCCCTTCTGCCACCTGTAAAAGCAATCCAGTGGCTAATTGGCCACTAGGATTGCTTTTACAAAACACAGCATCACCTGTCCAAAAAAAACAATAACAGGATGATGCCTGTAGCTGCAAGCATCATCCTGTATACCACTTTAAACTGGCAAAGTGAATGTATGTTAGCCGGTCTTTAAGCTGGGATGCTACTTTAAAAAACACTTTAACCTAACTAGCCAGAAAATGCCCCTCCCCCTCTTAACACCTATGCTGACTAACCTATTTTCAGGCCACCCAATCTGGTTACATTCTCTCTTGTGTGAGCCAGCAGCGTATGTAGGGGAGAGGAGGGGATGCTGACAATAGCTTGGACAAGGGAACCTATGGGTGACATCACCGCTCCAGGATTTTATGAGCCGCTGTCAAGCACTCTCTCCTCTGCAGCTGCCACTGGCTGATATGGAGAAAATCACATGACTGAACCGGGGCAGGCTGAATATAGGCAAGTATATACTTTTTTTTTTTTTTTTTTACAGTGACGTTTATATTTGTATCATTTTAATAAGTTTTCTTCATGCCCTCCTTTTTATCAGGGCCTTGCAAGTTAATTTCCTTAAACATTTTTTTAAAGGGGTGCTGCACCCCAGTGATCTTTGATCTCTTCCATATCGCTCCAATAGATCTCCACCTCTCAGAGGTGGCCTACCCCTGTAGTGATTGGTTTTGCATATCTTAACTTTGTCTGCCTTTATCAGCAATGGGCAAACTACGGCCCGGCAAACCTTTTAAATCCGGCCCGCGGAGCGTGGCAAACATTGCCTGTCAGGATGTGTGTAGGCGGGGCAGCGTGAGGAGCGGGGCAGCGTGAGGGGGGGCAGCAGGGGATCTAGGCTCCTCTCACAGTCCGCCCTGAAGACCGGAACGGCGCGGGAACACGGCGAGAGGAACGTGCGGAGCAAAGGTAAGTGAATTGACACAATATGGGGAATGAATTACTATAGGGGGGATGAATTACTATGGGGTATGAATTACTATAGGGGATGAATTACTATATGGGGGATGAATTACTATATGGGGGATGAATTACTATATGGGGGATGAATTACTATATGGGGGATGAATTACTATAGGGGGGATGAATTACTATGGGGGGATGAATTACTATGGGGGATGAATTACTCTATGGGGGATGAATTACTATGGGGGATGAATTACTATGGGGGATGAATTACTATGGGGGATGAATTACTATGGGGGATGAATTACTATATGGGGGATTAATTACTATGCTTACTATGGGGGAATATTACTATACTTACTATGGATGACACATACACATCATTCATCTACTCTTGGTCCGGCCCCCGGGTCCAATATATGAACCCATTGCGGCCCTCAAGTCAAAAAGTTTGCCCACCCCTGGCCTATATGCTTGTTAAACCTCTGAACAAAAATGTTTGTCAATCTGCAACTCAGAGACTGGTGTGTCTAGAGAGCCTCCCAACATGGTGTCTTTCTGTTGCTGAGGGGGCGGCTGTGATCACGAGGAGAATGCGTGCACTCTTTCTACACTCGTAGGGAAGGATGATGTCTATGTCTGTCTTGTGTACATATTTGTGGCTCAGGACAGTGCAGATGTATAGTTTGTGTATGTCCTCTGTGTTTAGGAAAGAGATTTGTTGCTAAGGGCTGTGTCCATATGTGAGCAGCCATTGCTGGGGCAGAACTCTATCCACAGGGACTGTGCACGGCATGAATTACTGTTTACAGCTGCAGATGTATGCAGAGAAAAATGAGGGAAGGACATCACCATCTCTCTTCCTCTGATGTGTATATAAAATAATTATAAATCATTTTCTCTGCTTTCTATAAAACAGTTATTGAAATCATTGCTTACAAAAGAAAAACAGAGAGAAATTGCTACAATAAAGAATACAAGTAACCAGAGGTTAAGCATTTATATATAAACAATGTGGTGCTTCTAAACCACC